GTTGGACATCCGTGTTGCGAAACCTTGTGTTTTGTAGTTTCTTTGGACGCACGATTTTGAAATCCTTCCGAAACCGATGGGTCTGAAGGATTTCGGCATACGCGCGCGACGACGCGCGCGTCTGCACTCCGTCCCATTTTTTGCAAGAAGGATTCTCGCGACGGCACACGCGCAAGGGCGTTCGACAGATTTCGACATGCGCGCGCGAAGTCTGTTTGGTAGAATTTTGTGAAAATCTTGAAAAACCTATGGCTTACTTAAGATTTCGCAAAGCTCGCGCGTAAGCTTTTTTAGCACATCAGTGTTGCGAAACCCTGTGTTTTTGTATGTTTTTTTGGAAACTCGATTGCGAAATCCTTCCGACACCGAAGGTTTTTTTTACGGATTTCGGCATGCGCGCGCGACGACGCGCGCGTGTGCACATCGTCCTTTGTTTTGCAAGGGATTTGGGAACAAATGCTATGTGAGAACAAAAAATGTCCCGCGTATTGTTTGTTACAGAAGGAACCTCTGGGGGACCGATCCCGGACTCCCTGGGATAGTGTAAATTCATATTTAGGATGGACATTTGGTCATAGTCATATATGATCTACGTAACGCCGGGCCGGGGGGGGGTAAAGTCTATTCTCTTTTTAATACTTTCTGTTCGCAATGAGTTGTCCACTCCACTGCTCGCGCAAACATCCCACCCACCCCCCCGCAACTTGGTTTGCAAAATCTCTTAAGACCGTGACGGTGGGTACCAAATGGCAGTTGGCAACGACAGCGACGCCGACGACGACAGCGACAACGACGACGACGCCGCCGACATTGACTACGACGACACCGACGACGTCTCCAACGACTTCGACGACGCCGACAACGACGACGACGACGACGACACCGACGACGACGACGACGCCGCCGACGCCGACGACGACGACGACGACGACGACGACGACGACGACACCGACGACGACGACGACGTCAACGACGCCGACGCCGACGACGACGACGACGGCGATGACGAAGACGACGACGACGACGCAGACGCCGACGACGACGAAGACGACGACGACGTCACCAACGAAGACGACGACGAGGGAGAAGGGAGGACGACGACGGCGACAACGATGACGGCGACAACGACGACAACGACGTGGGAGGAGGGAAAACGGCGACGACTCGAACGACGAAGAAGGAGGAAGGACGGCGACGCCGACGACGGCAACGACGAGGGAGGAGGGACGACGACGACGACAACGGCGACGAAATAGGAGGGACGACGACGAGACGCCGACGACGGACGACGACGACGACGACGAGGGAGGAGGAGGAAGGACGACCACGGCGACAACGACGACGGAAACGACCACGACGCCAAAGAGGAGGACGACGACGAACACGAGGAACGACAAAGGACGACGTAGGCGACGACGACGACGCGGGAGGAGGGAGGACGGCGACGACGACGACGACGACGCAAAAGAACGCGCGCACGCTTTTGTTGGACATCCGTGTTGCGAAACCTTATGTTTTGGTAGGTTTTTGGACACACGAATCCCACCAGCCCTTTGGGCGTGAGTGGTTTAGCGAGCTCTCTCTGTCCTCAACCCCCCTTTCTTCCCCTTCGGGGAGGGGTTTACCCCTCCCCCTACCCCCTCCCCCTGGACCTGGAGAGGGCGCGCCGCGGGTGGTTGGAGGGGTCTTTTTCGACTCTTGGGAGGGCCAAAAAACGACGACCCTCACAAGGATTCTGGCCCCGGGGAAGGGAGGGAGTTTGGCGCTTCAGCTCGTCTTTGAAGCCAAAAGCATTGATTTTACTAAGGTTTTGGCCCCATTTTGGACTTCTGAGGGGGCCGCGCGATCTTCCCTCATAGCAAAATCATTGATTTTACGAAGGTTTTGGGCTCATTTTGTCTTTCTCAGGGGGCAGCGCTCATCTGCGCTTCTGAGGAGGTCGCAAGAGGCCCCAAGATGGCCCCAAGAGGCCCCCAGGAGGCTCCCAAGAGGCCTCCAAGAGGCCCCCAAGAGGCCCCCCCCCAAGAGGCGCCCAAGAGGCCTCCAAGAGGCACCCAAGAGGCCCCAAGAGGCTCCAAGAGGCCCTCAAGAGGCCCCAAGAGGCCCCCAAGAGGCTCCAAGAGGCCCCCAAGAGTCCTCACGAGGAGCCCGAACGACTCACACCAGGACGAGAGACCCCAACGACTCACACCACGAGGAGCCCGAACGACTCACACCACAAGGAAAGGCCCGAACGACTCACACCAGGACGAGGCGCCCGAACGACTCACACCATGAGGAGCCCGAACGACTCACACCACGACGCGGGCCCCGAACGACTCACACCACGAGGAGCCCGAACGAGTCACACCACAAGGAAAGGCCCGAACGACTCACACCAGGATGAGGCGCCCGAACAACTCACACCACGAGAAGCCCGAACGACTCACACCAGGACGAAGAGTCCGAACGACTCACACCACGAAGAGCCCGAACGACTCACACCAGGACGAGAAACCCCAAACGACTCAAATCACGAGGAGCGCTCTCTCTCCCTCCTCCTCCGCCTCGTCCTTCTCCCGCTCCCCCCACAAAGAGGATGTACAAGGAGGCGGGAGGAACAAGGAACAGGTGAGATATGCGGGGCCAAGCGGATACATGCCTGAAAAACACGACTGTCGACATGCTTCGCAAGAATTGGTGCTGCGAAATGGGCTGGTGGGGATACGCGAAGCGTAAAGAAGTCGAAATCCTTCCGAAACCGATGGGTTTTGAAAGATTTCGGCATACGCGCGCGACGCGCGCGTCCGCACTCCGTCCCATTTGTTGCAGAGCATTCTCGCGACGGCACACGCGCAAAGGAGTTCGACAGATTTCGACATGCGCGCGCGAAGCCGATTTGGTAGACTTCTGTGAAATCTTGAAAAATCTATGGTTTCCTGCATATTTTGCAAGAGCTCGCGCGTAAGCTTTTTTAGCAAATCAATGTTGCAAAACCCTGTGTTTTTGTATGTTTTTTTGGAAACTCGATTAAATCCTTCCGACACCAAAGGTTTTTTAATGGATTTCGGCATGCGCGCGCGACGACGCGCGCGTGTGTACTTTGCAAACTTTTTTGCAAGGGATTCGCGAAACAGTGTTAAACCAAAAATGTCCCCGCGTATTGTTTTTTTACAAGGGAAGCTCTGGGGGACCGATCCCGGCCCCCCTGGGATACTGTAAATTCATATTTAGGATGGACATGTGGTCCGAATCATATATGATTTACATACCCCAAAGGGGAACGGATAACGCCAAGGGTGGGGGGGTAGAGTCTTTTCTCTTTTTAGAAAGGAGAATCAAGGATAATCTACGTGATGCAAACTGCGTGGTGAAAGGGATGTGGTTCAAACTACGAGGTGCAAGCTGAATGGTGCAAGCTATGTGGTGTAAGCTCCGTGGAACAATCAACGTGTTGCGCGCTATGCGGTGTAAACAATGTGTTGCAACATCTGCGCGGCCTGGCACAAATCGGTCACAATGCAAGATACAAGCCGGTAGTCTTCCCCGAGACACCCCAACGCACCTTCGGAAACGGCCCAGCACAAGCTCCACAAAATTATCGTTATCGTCGCCCACTTGGTTCTTCCGTGCATATAGTGTATACCGTCCTGCACTTGACATACCGCGGTAGTCCAACGCACCCTCCGACCCGAAAGCTGTTCAATATTTTAACGACTCCTGGCGTTGAGGCTGCACCTTCGGGGTGAAAACCAACAACAGCATCGGAGATGCACCGTTCGCGCATTCAAAATCCACACCAACAAGTACCAACAACAAAAGGCAATACACAAGAGGAAGATGCACAACTCAACCAGACCCGTCCACAGAACCTGCAAAACTGCCATGGGAATTGCGGTCGACGACGCGCTTACGGGGATGCCTTCCCGGTCCGACTCACTTTTTCTGGCGCTGAAGTGTAATGCCCTAGTAAGCACAAATATCGGGATAAAGAGGAGAAGAGAGAGAGAAAGAGAGAGAGAGACACATACAGAGAGGGATAGGGCAAGACAGGGAGAGAACGAAACTCCGTCAAATACACAAGGCAAGGGAAGACCCCCAAAAAAAAACACGCTCCCGGAAATCTACTACCAGATGGAACGGAACATACGGAACGAAACATCATTTAGGCCTCCAGAGTGACCGGGTGAAGGAGCGCTAGGGGAACAACCATGCAAGGACCTGAGGAACAGCGGTCACTTCCCCGAACCCGAGCGGTGCCTTGTTTCGCGTCTCGTGTCGACTGCTTGGCCCTCCGAGTGCTCGGGCTCAGCAGGTGCTCTTCTGGCTCCTCGCCCTCGTCCACCTGCTCCCTCCTTCCTCTGCCCACCCGCTTCCTACTCTCTTGCATCCTCGGTCCGCCTTCCTCCAAGCTTCTCAACATTGCCGCCTTGCTTCCTCCCCAGACATGCGATGTAGGTTATATACATACACGTGTGTAAGCATGTGTATGTATACGTGCATGTGCATGAATGTATATGTTTATACAGGTATATGTATACATATGCATACGTATGGTATATGTACATGTGTACGTATATGTACATGTTTACGTATGTGCATATGTATACGTCAGCGTAAATGTATCTGCATACGTACATCTGTACATACACATGTACATGTATTTGTGTATGTATATGTATGTATGCATGCATGTATGTACGTATGTGTGTATATGTATGCATGCGTGCATGTCTGTACGTATGCATGTTTGTTTATATGTGTGGATGTCTATGTCTATATATGTATGTGTATGTGTATGTGTATATGTATTTGTATATGTATGTGTATATGTATGTATGCATATATATATATATATATATACATACGCGGAGTCCTCGGGAATCCCAGCCCCTTCCCCAAGCCCTTCCATCCCGAGCCATCTTCTGACGGAGGGCCAGAACCTCCCGTTCTGCTTTTCACGACGCGCGCATGCCAGGGCCCCTCTCCTCCCTCTCCCTCAACCGCTTAACGTGCTGGTGGGCCTCTCTCCGCTGCGTGGGCGGCCTTCTAATTTTTCCCCCCAGCCGCGCGGGCTGCGTGTGCTCACAGCTGCCGCCTTACAGGTGCAGAGCAATTTCGCTGACTCTACGCCCGCAGGGCAAAATAGAGAGAGAGAGAGAGAGAGAGAAGGAGAGAACGAGAAACAAAAAAAGCGAAGCGGAAAGCCCAGGCAACACTCGCGCCTACGACGCGACGGCCCGGGCACGGCAGGGCCGCACCACCGGCTGCGGTCCCCGCATTGTGGGAGCGGCTGATGCTGCGGTGCTCGTCCTTCTGCCCCCCCTCCTCCCTCCCCCCCTTGTTCTTCGCCGCTCCTCCCTCCTCCCTCGTTCTCTTCCCTCCTCCCTCTTCCTCCCTCCTCCCGCTCCTTCCTCCTCCTTTTCCCTCCCTCCCGCCCCCCTTCTTCCTCCCCGCCTCTTCTCCCCCTCGTGGCCCGTGGCGTGGCTGCGGACCTTGGGTTCCCTCCATGAGGCTGTGGCCCCCGCCCCCGACCCTTCATCCCAGCAGCAAAGCCTCGCCGGGGGGGCCGGGGGCTGCAAAAGTGGGCGGCACCACAGCCAAAAGGGGGGGGGGAGCTAGGCCACAGAGGAGGGAAACCGACGGACCGGGACGACACGGGAGGACACATCAACAGGAGGAGGAGGAGAGGGAATAGCGAGGAGGGGAGGAGAAGAAGAGAAGAGCAGCAAGCACGACGAGGAAGAGCGGAACCTCCCAAACGCTCCCCCCCCTGACAGACGCGGGCACGCTGCTGAAGGGGCGCCGACCTGGACAAGTCCCAAGATGGCGGGCCATTTGGGGGGGGGCGCCGGAGGGGATCACGGGAGAGCGTGGGCCTTGTAGAACAATGCTGTGTCAAGCCGTGCCCCTACGTCGCCAGTTCCCGTTCCCTCCCGCTCATTCGCGCTGAGCTGAACCCATCCCCGCCCCGCACCATCAGGCGGCAGCAGGCCACTAGGTACGGGGAGGTGCGCCGAAGAGCTGTGGCGGCCCACAGGCCCGTCGGCCAGTCAGCGGGCCATGCGCTCGCGTGGACGCGCGGGCAAGACGATGCGGAAGAAACTGCGGCAGTGCGCCAAATGTGTCCCAGATGAGGCCGCCAAGCCCGCCGCGACGACGCCAGCGTGCCGCCGAGTCCGCCAAACAAGCCGCGGCGGAGCGGCACGCCACGACGCGCAAAATCTTGAGGCGCCCGGCCTTCGAGCGGGAGGATCGCCTGGAGATGGTCGCCGAGCAGGTGTGAGGGGGAACGTTCGGGGACCACTTCCAGGGGCGGGACGTCGAGCTGGAATCGGCGATGGCCAGATCGCGGCAGATCTGTCGCCGATCAGTCGGCGATGGCATCGCCCATTGATCGGCGACAGGGGCCCGAGAGCGACACCGCACGCTCCCGGGCAGGGTGGGACATCCGGCCCCTCTCGGCCAGGAGTGGGCGATCGCGGGTCCACGGGTCCTTGAGGATATTTTCGTTTTCGGTTGCTCTAGGTCGGGCATGTCCCCCTACATTTATGTTGCTTCCATCGTACTTAAGGACCACATCCCAGAAACAATTTCGAGCACCTGGAAAAGTGTCGAAAGAGTGTCGAAACAGTGTCGGGCGAGTGTCTCCCAGGGCCCGACACGTGCAAACCCTTGAGTTTTTCATTGGTTTTCTGGTGCTCAAAAATTATTTCTGGTGATCAAGGCTGAAGTGGGTTGGAACATCATAACCCTACAGTTAGGTCGGGCCTGTCCTCCAGACAGGGAGATTTTTGACGAAAAAGACAATACCCCCAATATGCTCCAAAATGGTAAAACATGGTCCACAACTGGTCCCCATACTATTTTTAAGCTATTTCTTTATTTCCCCCTGTAGAGGGGCAGGCCCGACTTAACCCTACAGGCCGATTCTGGACGAAAAATAACAACTGGTCAAAGTATACTAGAAAAGATGGTCAAACATAGTAGAAACATCGTCCCCAGACTATTTGTTTCACTCTTGACAGGCCCGACGTAACCCTACAGGCGGATTCTGTACGAAAAATAACAAGTGGTCAAAGCATACCAGAAAAGATTGCCAAAAGTAGTAGAAACATCGTCCCCAGACTATTTTTATACTCTTTTTGGAAATCTGCCCCCTGCAGAGGGACAGGCCCGACGTGCAGTGGAGGCCAGTCCACAAGAAACCTTCCAAAAGAAACCCAACCCTGAGACCCCAGGACGTCCATCGATTCTCGGTGTGGGAACGTCGCGCTCTCCACCGCGTAGCCATCGAAACCGGGGAAACCCAGGGCACCCTGGAGGCAAGCGGGGTGTTTCTTGGCATGGGCCCCCACTGCACGTGCCTGTACGATGAGTCCTCTTTGGAGGCCTGTGTCCGACCCGAACGGGAACAGTCAGCAGAACAGATATTCGAGCGCAAGCACAGATGCGAGCAGACGATACAGCCAGCTTGCAGCATCCTGGGGCCACACCTCGGAGGCGGCCGCGCGTGGCGAGCCAGGGGCGCCCCCCGAAGGCGCCGCTCGGCGGCGCGGCAGCAGCTGCCGCAGAGCGCGCCGAGGCCGCAGACCGCCGATTTTTCCGAGCAGGCCCCCAGAACGGCGCAGGCCGCTGCCCCTGAAGCGCGTCGGCGTCCTGCTCCTTTCGAGTATCGTTGAGCCGATCCCCATCCCCAGCGGCGTGGCCTGGGCCCCACTGGCCGATTTACCCCCTTAGATGGGGATGTAGGCCGTTCCCTTCGGGTTTCGAGGGGTGTGTCCCCACCTGGGGTGGTAATTTGGTGGGGGTCTCGAAGGGGATGGAGATGGGGATGGGGGTCGGATAAACGATACTGACATATGCCCCAGAAGAAGAAAAACCGTATAGGAATGTCGTTTGTGTCCCAGCACTAACCCTTCGCCTCGGCTTGATCCCCTCCCTCTCCATGCCATTTCCCATTTCCCCTCTCGAGCCGCCGAGTGCCCACGACACGGTAGTCGAGGTTGTGCCGACACGATGCTGGCTAGCCGCTTGATGTGATAAGGGAAGTTCGGTGGGATGGTGGGGTGGATGGTTTGAGGGGGGGACTATGGACTCAGCCGGTGTCACGAGAGTAGGAGGTGTTCGGTCGGCGTCCCAGCCTTCTCCCTCTCTTTCGTAATATGATGCCAATTCCCTCCCTCCCCCCCCTCCTCTTGAGTGCCTTGAACGGGCACAGCAAGCAATTTGTAGCCGCCGTCAGCGTTTGCCGTCCAGTTGCCATTCTGGAGGGTGGGGGTGTATGTGAGGACTGGGGGGGTCTGGACTCGTGCTTTTCGGTTCGACGCGTTCCGTCCGCTCTGTCACGGGTGTCCCTTCCTACTGTACTGAACTTGCGTTCTTGGTTCCCGTGCAGGTTTATGATTCAAAATAAGGCGTACGCCGAACTTGTGATATTTTGCAAGCTGCAGCGCCCCATTTGCTGACAGGCATTGGCTTCATCAGCGTCGCAATCCAAACATCCAATGCGCATGCGCTTCGATCCTGGCTGGCCCTCAGATTAGCGAGCGAGCGAGGAGGAGACCCCGAGCACCTCACTGGGCCACGCAACAAGCTAGCTTCTTCTTGCCCACGGGGGGCTCCTTCGACCCGATCACGGAGGGGTTTGTCTTCGACCTCCGCCGGGTGACTGCGACCAAGACGGAAGGGGGCGAGCTTGAACCGGGCAGCCCTCTCCCTCCTCATGCCCTCCTCCTCTTCCTCTTCCCCTCCTGCCTCCTGCCTCCTCCCTCCTGCTTCCTGCCTCACCCCTCCTCCCTCCTGCTTCCACCCTTCTCCCTCCTCCTCCCTTCTCTCTTTTCTATCCTTCCTCCTCCTATCTCCTACCTCCTGTCTTCGATGTCTTCGATGCGACGGTGTATATATATATATATATATCTATATATAGAGAGAGAGAGAGAGAGAGAGAGAGAGAAAAAGAGACAGAGAGAGAGAGAAAGAGAAACACATATATATATATATATATATATAGAGAGAGAGAGAGAGAGAGAGAAGGCCACTTTTCCTTGCACCTCCCCGTTCTCCCCCTGTCTCCTGCTCCTCCTCGGCCTCCCCTGAAGTTGGCATTTCTTGGCATGGCCCTCACCGAGACGCTACGTGGGCTCCCAGTAGGCTGTGCGCAAGCATGCTGCACCCCTTTGTCTGCCATCCCAAGGGGAAGAACCATACTGGACCGAGTGCGCGACGTGTTCCGACACGGCAATTTCTTCTGGATCCTCGGGTCGTCGCAAGGTGACCTCCTGTGGCCGCTCCGTGTGCTGGCCCAGCGTTCCGAATTTTGGCTCAAGTCGGGCCTGTCCTCCACAGGAGGAATATTCCCAAATAGTCAAAAAATAATCAGGGGACGATTTTTTGACTACTTCAGCCCATTTGGGGAATCTTTTCTGAGTATCTTTTATTTTTCGTCCAAAATCCGCCTGTAGGGGGACACGCCCGATTTAAATTCTGGCCCGGAGGAGGAGGAGGAGGAGGAGGAGGAGGAGGAGGAGGAGGAGGAGGAGGAGGGAGGAGGGGGAGGAGGAGGAGGGGGGAGGAGGAGGAGGAGAAGGACGAAGAGGAGGAGGAGGAAGAGGCGCAATTAGCTCCTGGACCTCGTTGTGTCCTCTCCTCCTCCCCCTCCTCCCCCTCCTCCTCCTCCTCCTCCTCCTCCTCCTCCTCCTCCTCCTCCTCCTGCGCATCCTGGGCCGTCTTGTTGATGGGCCCCGGGGCCCAGCGAGGGCCCACCCCGTGGCCGAAGCCTGGCACATCCGCGGATACAGTCGGACTTGATTGGACAGGACACGCGAGAGGACACAAGACCCTTCCGAGGGCCACGTTGCCACAAAAGTGGAGGAGGCATGGGTCGCAAGACACAGAACACGAAGATACCCCTGATCTGGCAGGGTCGACCTACTAATCTCGGCCGCCTGCAGCCTGCACCACATCGATTCTTGTATACTGCACCAGACAACATACCACCGCAAGCAAATCCTGTCTCAAAGAAATGATCAAAAGCTGCCCTCCATGCCGTGGCCGACCTAAACAGCCAGCCGGTTCGCATTCAGACCGAGCGTTTTGCACGCTCGTTCGTTTTCCAACAACACATACATTCATTCATGCGCAGCAGAGAAGTACTGGCCACCCCCACCATCCCTTGCAACATCTGCTATGCGGCCCACGCGCGACAATGTAAAACGTGAGATTTCCAACCATCCCCCAAGCTGTGCCAGCATGCGGGTCACACGCGCGCGAACATGTAGAACTTCTTCCATAATCATGTTTTTGATTCACTTATGTTACACCACCTCAAGAAGAACATGGTTGTGCGTGCCAGTACGAAATGCCAGAATTCTTAGCGTGCGCACTTGCTGGATACACATTAAAAACTCGTTTTGTAGTTTGTCGAATGACAACATGCGAGCCAAACGTGCGTGCATGCCGACATCAATCAGCATTGGTCGCGCGCGTTCTGGCGCACGCGCGTGTCTAAGTCACTGCCAAAGCAATGGGCTCCCACTCGTCTCAATATTGCGGGGCTCAAAGCATATGAAGGCAAGTTGTCTTCCAACGCGATACGAATTACACTCTCTGCGCGCGCACGACATCTTAATCCTCATCAGTCTCATCGTTATGATGGCCACCGCCATCATCATCGTCGTCGTCATCATCCTCACCATCATCAACGCATCATCATCATCACCATCACTATTGCCATTGCCAGCATCACCAAAACCAGCGTTGTCATCATCACCGCCGTCATGATCTACATCGTCGGTGCCATCGCCCTTGTGAACTTTTCATCGCGCGCACTTTCCCATCAACTCCGCCCACACCCTCGCCATCATCACCGCCAGCGTCTTCCTTGCCAGCATGATTATTATCACCATCAGCGTAGCTTCATCACCATCACCACCCCTGTGCTGACGCCAGGGGCCTCGGCGGCTCGACTGAGGATGTCGTGGTCTATCCTTTCGTAGAACTTGCCAATGTCGAAATGGACTGAGGCCCCGCCGAAACCAACCCCCCACGACAGCCCGAGGTTGAGGTCGTGCAGGTTGGCCGCGCGATCGCGACGCGTGTCTGAGCTCTGGCCGCAGACCGCGGGCAACGCGTGGTCGGCTTCCCATCTCGAGCAGTGGCGTCGCCGTGTGCGGCCCCAGCTGCGCAGTCGCATGCGCGCCAGCCCGATCGGGCGCCGCCCGCCATCGGGCTTGCCCAGAACAAAACAATGGTGAGGGTGAAAAGGTCGGACGGCCGTGGCTGCCTCTTCCACGCAGTGACGACCTCGGCAAGGCGTCCGGCGAACGGGCGGCCGAGGTGCGCGAGGAGCCTCAGGTGGAAGGCGCCCCGGCCGAAGCCGGTACTGTGAGGGGGCAACTTCGCAACCTCGAGGACATCGTCTGCCATGACCGCTGGCAGCTCCATCGTGCCCTCGCAGTTAGCAGTTCGCACTTTCTGGCCGTGCCCAGGTACGCCCCGCAGCGCCTTGCATTCGACCGAGATGCGATCGAACGCCTGCTGTGCGACCAGCGGCGCGGGCAGCCTGCCAGCGAGTGGCTCGCCGAGACTGGGCGCCTCCTCGCGGTGCATGGGTCCCGCGGCCTCCTCTGGCCAGGGGCTCGTCGTCAAACTCCCGCCGGCGCTCCCAGCTGCGCAACTCGTCCGCCTTGACATGGCCGCAGTGGCATCCTGGAACCGCTTCCCTTGCCATGCGCCCGCTTGCGCCTCGGACGGCGTAGAGTTAGGTCGGGCCTGTCCCCCTACAGCGGGACTGTGGACGAAAAATTACAGAGACACAAGAAATGCTGAAAAGATGGCCAAAAATACTCAAGAAATGGTCCCCAGACTATTTTTTGCCCATCTTTGAATATCCCCCCTGCAGAGGGACAGGCCCGACTTAAGCGCAGAGTTCGCGCGCGCGCCGCCGAACACGCTGCGCCCCTTCCGGGCAGACTGCGGCGCGCGGGAGAGGGCGGCGCGCTCTCCAGGCCCGGCGGCGCGCGCAAAGGGGGTGGAGGGAGGGGGGGGAGGGCTTCTTAGAAGGCGCCGGCTCTTCAGCTCCTTTTGAGCAGCGATGGGCTACGGGCGGAGCACGATTCAATCTGTTCTCATCCAAGCTCGCTCTAGGCGAAACTCGGAACGATCGGCACTCAACCGAAACATCCGCTGGTTTCAATAACCGCTCTAAACTACGGGCTGGCCCCAGGAAAACCGAACACCCCTCCTCGGCCTTCGGCGCCGCAATTGGGCGGCCTTACATCTATAGATAAGGCCCGCGCCTTCTAAGAAGCAGGGGTGCTTCTAAGAGGCCCTCCCCCCTCCCCCCACCCCCCTTCTGCGCGCGGCTGACAGGCGCTGAACGTGGGCTCCGTGGCCCTCGGGCCTGCAGCCTGCCGGCGCTGCCTCCTCCAGTGCCTGAATCCTCCTGGGCACATACCTCCACGAACGCCCCCACCGTACTCCCCCGGTCTCTCCAAGGGTGCGTTCTGACCAGGATTTCGATGCGGATCTGGCCGTGGTGACGAGAAATCTCCAGGACGAGCAGCGGTATCGGAATCTCGGCTTCCGAACGGTGGGCAGTGGCTTCCGAAATCTGGTAGCGCGCAAGACGGCGTGTCTTTCCAATCCGGTCTTGCAAACTGCTGGGGGAGCCGACGTCCCAGGACCCCCAGGGGCAGTGTACACGAATGCGTTCTTGAGGCCCGGGGGTAGCAGCAGGGAGGAGGCAATCCATTCGCACCACCTTGTTGCGAGTTCTTGAGCCCAAAAACCCACGGGAAGCGATTGCATCGACGGCCTGGGCACCGAGACCAGTGAGGAAAGACATGTACACATCAGATATACGTCCTTGGGGCCGGGGGTCCGTGGCGACGAGGGGTTACCTCTGCGGTATCGGTGTCCATTCCTGTTCCGACGCCTGCTGCATGGCGGCCGGTGTGCCTCGTCTCTCGTCCCGCCGGCAGCTCTCCGCCGAGCGCTCGCCCTCCGGTGAGGCCGCGGTCGCATGTCCGCGGCCTCCTCTCCTGCCTGACGACTCTTCTCGAAGTCGATTCGCGAGGAGAAAGTTATCAGCCGAGGTAAATATACAGCCATCTTGCTACTGCAAGGGCCGATCGCTGAGTGAGGAACGAAGTGGCTTGTTCGGCCACGGCGAGCCTCGGCTGCGGAACGATTGACCGAATCAAATCTGAGGAACGGCTCGACGACCAAAGCCCCTCTGGAGCCCGAAGTGGTTCTTTTTCAAGCGCCTAGACTGTACGAAAACTACGCGCATGCACAGTACCATGTTCTGACTCCCTTCAGGCCCCGCTCCATGCACCGTACCATGTTCAGAACTGTGTATAATTATCTGGCTCTGAGGGCATTCCTGGTCCGAGGATCGACGTCTCAGGATACACCAAATCGGCAAGGTGCACACAAATCGTCGCGGCAAGTCGATGCAATTCGATGTACATCAAAAAACGCAAAGCACGGCCTCATATCGCCAAATAAATCTGGAGACGTCGTGGGAAATATTAGACGCGGGCAAACACACCGCAAACATCGCCAACGAATCTCCCAACGAGGAAAAAGACCCATGCCGGGAAACGGCCGTCCCTGCCGGAACTTGCGGGCGGCAACTATCTGGCTCGCTCCAGACATGCTGAACCTGAGAAATGCTACCACCTGGGTGGCGAGGCGAGGCGACACGCGATGTCGGTCCGGTGGGACTGGCCCTAGAAGGGCAGCGCGGTGGGGCCGAAGCCCTCAGTAGTCGAGGACGTGGGGACGTGAGCGTCGGGTGTGAGTGTGGATGGAAGTCGAGAGGTGGATGTCGAAATCTGAAGGTCGGATGGAGGCCGACAGGTCGTGGTGCGCGTCGGAGGTTGGATGCTGGAAGCTGGAGGTCAGTCGGGTGAGGTCAATCAGTGGGCAACTCTTACTTCCGCTGGCGGATCCACCGCCGCTTACTCCTGCCAGCTTCCGCCGGTGGACCCGCCGCCCTCCGCCGAAGGAGAGATATATCGACCACTCGAGCCCTCGAAGGCGAGGGGCCCTTTCTGGTGACCGCCCCACCCTGGTGAGGTTGCGCGGAGCGACAGGGCAAAATAAGAGGCGCCTGGCCGTCGCCGCTCTGTCCTCGCTCTGCGACACGTGGTGGTCGACGACCGCCGCCGCGATGTCGTGGTGGTTGCTGTGCGCCTGCGCGGCCCAGCGGTGGAACCGGCGTGCAGAACTCGGCGGCCAACCCAGAGGTGAAGCGAGAAGGGGCAGGCCTCCTCATAAGGCGGGTGGGCTTCTCAGAAACCCTCGCGTCTTCTGAAGGACGGTCTGTGGCTTCGGGGCAAGCTTGCGAGGCTTCTCGGAAGACGCGAAGGCTTCGGAGAGACCACGCCGCCGTGTGATCAGTCCAGCCCCCTGCTGCGCTCCCCTCCCTGGCTCGCCGCCGAAAAACGCCATTGCGCGAAGTCTGAACCCAACAGAGCACGGAAGACGGGGTGGACGACGACGAGCACGAGAAACGGATCCCGACACGACGAGGAGCAGTGCGTCGCATGTTGCGGGTCCCCCAAGCTTCGGGATACGAGGTGCCATGTGTGTACGGTCCCCTGTGCGTCCCCCTTGCAATCGCCATCCAAGGTGCTGAAGGTGCTGGGCCCTCACACGGTGGCGGCACTTGCCGCTGACAACTTGACACGTATGTACATGTTCACACACATGTCCACACATATAAATGTTAGCCAGCGTGGCCACCAAACAGTGCATTCCAGCTAAATCAGCAGTGCAATTTAAGTGGCGCGTGTGTATGTGGTGCCATTTACGTTGTGCAATGCACCAATGCTCGCAATGAGTTGTCAATTCCACTGCTCGCGCAATCATCCCACCCACCCACCCGCAACTGGATTGCAAAACCCATGCGACGGCGATTGCGGGGAGTGATTGGCGTTGGCTGGTGCATGTCTGCGGCCGCGCTAGCCCGCGCATGATCGCACGCGCAACGGCCAGCTAGTGCGGCGCGACCGACGCGGCCGCGGTGACGCTGACCGCTTGGCACTTCCCAGCGGACACTTCATTGCGAGTCGGTGCCTTCGGCGGGCGCGGTATCATGGCGACGCCGACAACTGTAGACACAATGATGAGAACAGCGATGGAGGTGACGATGGTAGCGATGACGACGGCGAGGCTGACGGTGCCGATGCTGATCACGCCCGCCGATAATGATGACGGCGTCCTCGCGACGGTGATGAAGGTTTTGGAAAGAATTCGGCATGCGCGCGCTGCCGACGCGCGAGTGGCCGGCGTGGTACAAATTGACACGGGCCGTGCCCCCCAGCATGCGCGCAAGGGCTTTCGGAAGAGTTCGACATGTGGCGCGAGCGGCCCGTTTGGCAGAATGTGATGACAATGTAACAAGAACTATTGCTTCCTTGAGGATTCGGAAGAGCGCGCGCGTAGTTTTTTTTTTTTTTTTTTTTTTTTTTTTTTTTTTTTTTTTTTTTCTCCTGAAAACTGATGTTGCAAAACCATTTCTTTTTTATATGTTTCCGGGGCATTCCTTTTTGGCATCTCTGCGCAATCCAATGTTTCTGAAGGATTTCGGCGTGCGTGCGTGACGACGCGCGCGCGCGTGCACCTCATCCCATTGGCAAAGGATTCTTCCGACAGCACGCGCGCAAGGGCGTTCGAACGATTTCTACATGCGCGCGCGAAGAGGTCTGTTTGGTAGCATGTCATGAAAATGTGGAAAACCCTACGGTGTTCTAACGATTCTGCAAGAGCGCGAGCGCGGACGGCGGCAACAGCGACAACAAGCGAGGCGACAGACAGCCAGGCATATAAGCAGGGGCGGCGGACGGCGACGGGCGGCGACGAGGCGGCGACGGGGTGGCGACGGTGACAACATAGCCGCCAGACCGCCACCCAGGCCTAGTTCCTTAGACTAGAAGTGCGAGCCCTTACATGGAAACACTGTTTTAGGGACCTCTATCATAGTTACTTGTTTACTATTACGCGTTTTTTTTTTGTTCTTTTTTGTGTTAGACAGCGTGGATCCCAATCCGTGTGCTCTGGCAATCTACGTGGTGCTATTTACGTGGTGCAACCTATGTGGTGCAATCTTTTTGGGGCAATCTAAGTGGTGCATCTTATGTTGTGCAATATATATATATATATATATATATACACCTGCAGATACAAGATGTTTCCAGCTCGCTACGCTTCGCCGTTGCAATCTTGGTCGCATGTCGCCAGCGAGGTGCGCTGCGACCGCCATCGCTGTCAACTGGGAATGGGGGAGTGGGGCGGTGCGTTCCCAGAGCTTTTAGAAGTGGGCGGCGCCACAGGTCTGGAAGGTCTCCTGAAGGTTCTAGGGCGCACGAGGCTTGTATTGCTCATGAGGGTCATACGGTCAGACGCCTCATGGAGATTGAACGGCATACGGGTCTCATCGGCTTCAACAGGAACGAAGAACTCCCTGGGGTTCATGTTTCATGAGACTTGGGCCGGAGCTGGGCTGCAGCTGGATCTGGGACTTGAGCTGGAGCTGGGCTGGAGCTGGAACTGGAGCTGGAACTAGGGAGCTCCTGCAAGTGCTGTTACAGCTCCCCGTCCTCCTCCTTCTCACCCCTCCTCCTCTGCCTCCTCCTCTTGAAGAACATGAAACGCTGGACGGTTGGATCGGGGCGCAATTAAAACTCTTTCCCAAAGAGTAGTTCTGACAACACGGAAAGCATGATTACCCTAGCAAAGCCATCGAATAGCAGCAAAGGTGATCCATGAGACCTGGTGTACCCGTGGGACCTGCTGGTTTACCGGACCTGCGACACCTGTGGGACCCATGGGACGTGCGACACCTGTGGGAATTGCGGGACCTGCGACAACTGTAGTAGGACCTGTGGAATCTATGGGACCTGTGATACTTGTGGTACCTGCGATACCTGTTGATCGGGGGGGGCCTGTGGGACCCGTGGGACCCGTTGTGCCTGTGGAGCCCGCGAAACGTGCCACTTGTGGGACCTGTGGGACCTGTGCGACTTGTGGGACATGCGAGGCCTGTGGCATTCGTAGGTCCTGCGAGACCTGTAAACCTATTGGACCCGTGGGGCCTGTGGGACCAATGGGACCTGTAGGACCTATAGGACCTGCGAGATCTGCGCGACCTGTGAGACTTCTGGGACCTGTGGGACCTGTGGGACTTGCGGGACCTGCGAAACCTTAGACATCTGTCGGACCTGTGGTGTGGGGCCTCTGGGACCCGTGGGACCTGTTGGACCTGCGGGACCTGTGGGACCTGTTGGACCTGTGGGACGTGCGGGACCCGTGGGGCCACTGAAACCTGCGAGACCCATGGGACCTGTGGAACGTGAGGGACTTGCCGAGGCCTCTATGGGAGACTTCTTGGGGTCTCCTGGGGGCCCCTGAGATCTGAGCGTTGGAGCATTTCTGGTGCTTCCCTGGGGACGTCTGTTGCAGACGCCTTGGGGGCTTTGGGGGCCTATTGGGGGCCTCTGGGGGCATCTTGGGGGCCCCTTGGCGGTCTCTGGGGCCATGCTGGGGGAAAAACTCGAAATTTAAGTTCGGGTTGTCCTTCTTGGGGTCCTCTTGGGCCTCATTGCGGGGCTTCTTGTGCTTCGGCCGTTCTGGAAGCATCTTGGGCCGTCTTGGGGCCCTCTTAAGACCCATGTGTTCCGTCTTGGAACGATCTTTGGGGCCTCTTGGGCCGTCTTGCGCGGTCGGGAGCTCGACAAAACGAGAACGTTTAAATCGATCGAAGAACCAAAGAACATCAATCAATTTTGGCGTTCGGGGCCCTCTTGGGTGCCATCTTCGGGCTCTCATGGGGCGTCTTGGAAGCCTTTTGGGCCGTCCTGAGACCAGCATGGGCGTTCTGGAGCGGTTTTGGGCCGTGTCGGTGCTCCGCGGGGCCGTCCGGGAAACGATCCTGGGCCCGCTTTGGCGGCTTGGGATGGCCAGAAAGAGCTCCCTGAACCGAGCTTCCAAATTTCTTCCCGATGGGAGCGCCCAAGGCCGAATTTATCTAGGGGGATCACCTGGGGTTATTTGAATATTCGAAGAAGAATTTACTTGTGTGTGTAGATATGTCATATATATATCATAATGAAGGGGCCGAACCCTCATTCAATGTCCGTGGGCGCGTGGCTGAAGTGAAATTTTGCGGTGCGGATTGTTGTTTGTTTGTTATCGTCGTCCCCCCCGCGACCCAACCCGCGACCCGCCCGCGACCCACCCGCGACTTTCCCGCAACACACCCACGACCCACCCGCGAACAGGTCCGCGACCCACTCGCGACCCACCGACATTGCTTTAACAGAAAAATCGGCCCCTGCGGCGAGCTCGTCGCATAATATGTAAAATTCGGCTCCTGCGGCGGGCTTCTTCACAGCCTCGCAGACTGCCCACGTCCTTGCCGCCACCTCACTCTGATCCGCAATTCCGGGGGGCCACAGTATGTGGTGCCATCCATGTGGTGCAACCCACGTTGTGCACTATAGGTGGTGCAGATCTGTCGTGCAATCTATGTTGTGCAATCTTTGCTGTGCGATAGATGTGGTGCAATCTGCAGCCAATGCTGTGCAACACACTTGTCACAATAGATGTTTCGCACTATAGGTGGCGCACTAGATGTTATGCAGTGCACGTTGTGCAGTTTATGCTGTGCAATATATGTGGTGCAACGTTTGTGGTGCAATCTATGCTGTGCGATCCATGTGAAGCACTATACGTGGTGCAATCTAGGTGGTGCAATCGATGTTGTGCAACCTTCGATGTGCGTGGTGTAATATCGTTGGTGCGGACTACGTGGTGCAATTTATGTGGTGCAATCCACTTTGACCGTCTTGAAGATGTCCTCTCTACCGCTCGTGCAAACATCCCACCCTCCCACCCGCAACTTGGTCGCAAGACTTCTTGAGACAAGACCGTGACGGTAGGTACCACATGGCACTTGGCCACGACACCGACGCCGACGACGACAGCGACAACGACGACGACGGCGCCGCAGACACCGACTACGACGACACCGCCGACGTCGACGTCGACGAAGACGACGACGACGCCGACGCCGACGACGACGACGAAGACGACGACGACGTCGCCGACGGAGACGACGACGAGGGAGGAGAAAAAACGCAACGGCGACAACGACGACAACGACGATGGAGGAGGGAAGACGGCGACGACGC